TCGCGATCTACTCCCGAGGTTGCGTTTGCCATGAAATCACATCCGACCAACACCATCACAGCTCCTCGAAGCCTTCTTCATCTGCTTCTTCCTCAATCCTCTGGAATTCTCTTCTCCATGTATCCATCCGATCAATTTCACGTATAAGTACGCGCCTACGCGGTATTCCTGCTTGCGCGAAACTCGCAGAAAGATTCAGGCGACTCTAAATACCCGTTCCGGTGGTCTTGCCAGAAACGATGACCAATCAATACTTAGTTTAAAATAGGCAGGTCTTTTTAGCGCGCAATCTTTGGGGCTCCTTCCTTAATTTTAACTCTTCTTGCCGCCAATTGTTGGTTAATTGTGATGGAGGTGGATGAATCCTCCTCGGAAGGGAAGATGCTCCAATTGCCGGATTCATTTGTTACTTTTCTCACTCAGAATGGATTGAACCCTGCAATTTACACGCAGTGTGATTCCACTCCACGTTATATAAGGTATTCTTCTGCATATATTTCAGCATGATTCTTTGTGTGTTTGATGAGGGTCTATGTGAAGCTAAAATTTCGTAATCTTTATTCAAAAAGATTCATTTTTTACATGGCAACATGTTGTTTTCGTCCTGGGTTAACTTTCTTTTGGGTTCAGGGTTAGAATAGTGTTTACATTTACGCTGACAAGAATGATGGCTTAATCATGTTGGCAGGATAAAGCCTTCCTTGGAACATCATATTCAAGAAATCGAAGCCTAGATTAAGTAACAAATTAATAATCATAAAGCAAGAAGCCAGAAAAATGGAAAATAAGCATACGGTGTTTTGAATATATAAAATCATAATGGAACTTGTGGGATGTTTTACCTGATCATCAGAATATCGCAGTTGTTCCGTAACAAAGAAAATGTTCCTATTTCCATCTTCTTTCAGTTCATTCCTAAAATCTCTAGCAACTTGATCATACTGGATCATATTCACTCGGAAACCATGGCTCATAAAGAGGTTATCAATCCATTAATTGGTTTTAATTTGGTGGGCTGCAGAGAAGCAAATGCATCTTCATGGTAAGGAGATTAAACCAGACAAAGAATACAGAAAAGATGGTTGCTAACCTTGGAACTCACTTCAGTTTCTGAAAGCCAGGATAGAAGTTCCCCCAATAAAAGACATTTTTTTTGTAGCTAAATTACTGACTACATTCACAGTTTCCTTAAAGCTCACCAAATTCAGGAGAGGCAGTCCCTGGAATGTGGAAAAAAAAAAGCAAACAAAAAAATCATTTCAAAATCAGTACTCATATGAGAACTCTACAAGGGTGGTTATTGTACTGATGCCACCGAACCGGATAAGTTGAAACCATTATAATATGTTGTCGGCCGTCAGGAACTGATTTCAATGCTGATTGTATAAGGAATAACTTTTTTTTTTTAAGAGGAAGGAATAACCTTGAATATAATGGAAAAGCATCACCACCAACGTATATTTATAAGAATTATTGTTAGAGTAGGGTTTATTAGGATATAAGATGGATTACGGTAGATCAAATGATAGTAACTGATATCCATCCGAATCCAATTTCGAAATTAAAATTTGTTAGGGGAAGATATTTGTTAACCGTATCAAGATCTAGACCTCCTGTCATCCTATTTGCCACACATGATTAAATCTTATGTGGCATCGAAAAATTGATATAGGTTTTCTCTCTCTGATTTTTACTCTAGTATAATACTAGTGTTTGTCCCACACGTTGTACGGGTTGTTCAAAATATATGTGAGTTTAACGATTATATGACATTTCTGGTGCAGTGATATATGTGTGTATATATAATGATATAACTTATAATTGTATAATTTTTAATGTCAATGTATTTCGTAATTTTAAGTACATTTGGAATAATTTTCAATTTTCGAAATCATCAATTGATATTTATTGTTCATGTTTTTTTTTAAATTTGTTGATTTATGGTTTTTATATCGTTTAAAAGTATTCTCCTAATTTTTTATAGTGATCACTCTAAATGTTTCTATTCATTTCATATCTTTTAAACGCTCCCCCAAACAGGAAGTTTTCTCATTATTTTTTTCATAAACTTGTCTTTGTTTTTCGTCTTTCTATATAACTTGTTTAATGTTTCCTTAGAAGTTTGTTCGTATATTTTTTCTATAATGTAGTATGTACATCTTTTTTTTCTTGATTGCATGGTTTTGACCTTTTTGTATATATCTTAAATGTAATCAATACATAACTAAGTTAATACATATCTAGCAACAAAAAGATATATTATTTGGCAACATTATTTCATTATAAGTTTTTTCTCATATGATTTGATGCCCCTATGATTTTTTTGGGTTTTCATTTCTATTTTAATTAGAGTTTTTCATTAAGATATGCATATATTGATACTAATGACAATCCCAATATATGTCTACAGTAAAACGTTTTTAGACTCATTTTTTTCTATAATGTTGTGGCAATTTACTTTGTGATTTTATATAAAATTACATGAAAATTGGTTGAAATAAAATTGGTTTTTTTTTTGGTATATGGACTTAGTTTCATATGTTGATTTCGATGAAAATGCATGAACAGATTTTGTTATGGTAATTACCTTGATGGGAGGTACCGTAGGAGCATTGGTGGGAATTCATGAACCAATGCCATATTAGCATTTTGCAGGAATAATTAAAATTAGGAACACTATTTAAATCAGATTCATTTTACAGGACTTTCCCACTCGATCATATAGTTTAGCCCATTCTTTGTTATATGATAGTTGAATTTCATGTTTCTTGATCTTTTGAGAGTCCTGCAAGGTCAACGATTTGTTTGGGCATGTCAGCTATAGGTCAGGATTAAAAGCTATTCTCATTGCTTCAGGGGCAGGTACTTCATGTTTACAACTGATAGGGAGACTTTTTTCGTGGAAGTATTTCTGTATGGCATTTTAATTTTTGCATATTTAAAGAGATCACATGTTTAGCTTCAGATTACATATTTTTGGTATATTTTACAATATTAAATTTAGAAATCATTTTGAAAGATGGTTTTTTAATGCACCAATTTTGTGTCGTTTGCAAAGAAAGGATTTTGATTTGAGTATTGAAAAGTTTCTATTTTTGTAGTATTTTAAGATTTTTGTCAAATTCTATCTTCATTGTGTTGATGTTATCTCCATTTGGATGTTTGGTTAGGTAAGTCATTTTTTGTAGTCCATCAATAGATACTTCGGATTTGTTTTGAAGCTCGCAGTGGGAAGATCTTAAATCATCAGATTGTTCTTCTATCCAAGTGAGATGTAGCTTAGGGAATCTGGAGCCTCAGGCCAAATGTCTAGAGTTGAAAAGAAGAATCAATATGCTGAAATAGAGAAGGTATAAATACTTTAGTGTCTTGGTGATAGACTTTGGAGAGGATCGTTACAGTTAAGTTTTCAAAAAGTAATTGTATTTTTTGGGAATGTTGCTTATAAACTGATACAAGATGCCATTTTCCAAGTTCCTCTTGCAGAAAAGCATTGAGGACAAGCACTCGAAGCTTTTTTTTTTTTTGTTTGAAAAGCACTCGAAGCTGGAGACAGAAATAAGAAAAATTGATAATGAGACCATTCTGGTTATACCTGAACTTCAGAAGGTGCTCAGATTTTGCTTTCCCTTTTGTTTGTTGTTGCTTTCCTTTTTGTTTGCTGAATTGTGCTTTCAGCCTTCTGATTTGTGGTTTTATTCTTTGCAGTTGGGAAACATCATTAGTACAAGAAATTCCAAAGAAGATACTGTTTATTGCCATGCTTTAAATAGTCTTTTTGATTTGGTTAAGTTTTCTCTATATAAAAGGTACACTTCAAGAGTAGAAGATGTCGGTGAATCTTAGCATATGGAATTGAGTAGAACAATGGTCTGAACCTCTAAGGTTTGAATATGTATATATGGGATGGGGAATCAATAGTTATAGAATTTGTATTTACCTGTATACAAAAGTAAGAGGCAAGGCAGGGCTACTAATCTTTAGGAACAAAAACAGATTTTAGTAAATTTTATGTGACCATTTTATATAGTCTTTGTTCTTTTGCCTCTAATATTCATTAAATTTTTTTTTATCAACCCAATTGAAGTGTATCACTATAACCTATGAGATTTTATTTTGTTTGACTGACGATTTTTTTTTTGACTGTCGAAATTAAAATAAAGGCACCCCGGGCAGTTTTTATTAACCCCAATAAAGTGTATTACTATAACATATTAGATGAATTTTTTGTTTAACTACTGAGCTTAAAATACAGCTGGCCCCTGAGCATTTGCTTGGGGCAAGTTATACTTATATTACTACATTTTATTACAACTGTAAATTCAAAGAAATCGCCGGGCATCCACCCGGACAAGCATCTAGTAATTCAATTAATATTATCATTGAAATACGAATCATTGGTTTCTAATTTAAGTATCATCATTCAACCAAATAAATGGCTGCGAATCATACATCACTCCACAAAAATTTCACCTCTCTCGAAAAATCAGACTTTTAATCAAACTTAATGATTGGAGAATTTGGTTGTAGTAAATAACACATCCCAATCGCAATTAAAAAATGGAAATGGAAACATGTGCCACCATCAGTTTTTGTTCACCTAACTGAATGACCCAAAGTGATCATGACTTTCACCACACAGTATCTAGTTTGTACTTTTCTTAAAAAAACATATTATTATTGGTTATAAATTAACTATCATCACTTAATTGTAAAGAGTTTTCTTGTGCTGAAGTTTACCTAATTATTATTATCTGTCAACATGAATGATTGATTGTACTTGGAGTGTACCTTGTGTATTGAATCGCAAATGAGGTTAGGACATGAAAGTGCAGGTACAGATAAACCAATATTTGTCAATTTCAGACTTCAATATTATTATTGGTGAGAAGTTGAACTAACACATGAATGATCTGCCCGAATCAAGGGTTTTCTTCCTGTTAATTTCCACTTCCCATATCTATATAAACCACCATGCATCATTTCTCAATGCATTCGCAAACAAAACACATAAAGCCTTGTTTCCGAAGCACTTTTGGTCTCAACTTCTGAGTTCAGTTTATAAATTTTAAGATAAAGTTTTTGCTCTCCTAAAAAAATGGCTGATTTTCGCCTCTTTTTTGTTGTACTTATCGCTGTTTCATCGATAAGCAGCAACTTATTCCAATCAGAAGCTCGTCAGCTGCTGGAGACAACTTTGCCTGAGCCACCTAAAGTGGAGCTTCCACCTCTTCCAAAGCCTGAAATCCCCACATTACCTAAACCTGAAATTCCAACAGTCCCAAAACCTGAGATCCCGAAACCTGAGATCCCAACACTGCCAAAGCCTGAAATCCCCGCATTGCCTAAACCTGAGATCCCTACCGTCCCAAAACCGGAAATCCCCGCGGTGCCAAAACCTGAAATCCCAACATTACCTAAACCTGAGATTCCTACATTGCCTAAACCCGAGCTTCCAACTTTGCCGAAGCCCGAGATTCCGACGCTGCCCAAACCTGAGTTGCCTACTTTCCCAAAGCCAGAAGTTCCCAAGCCATGAGATACTTTACATAAATGTCTGCTGATTATGTGCTGATTTTGATCAGCCCTTCTTCAGGAGTGATGATGTTTCATAGTTTTTGTTTTGTTTTCTTTTTCTTTTTTTGGTTTCCTTTTTATTAATGTATGTTTGTTTGGTGTCAACTGAGTCTTATTGTTTGATGTGATACACTATTGGTTCATGTACCTGGACCTGGAGGTTTCTTCTTTTCATGTATTTGTATTTAATTACACACATTTGTACTTCCTCGTATTATGCGACCCAAAATACATTTGATCGTGTTCTTCTTTAGTCATTACTCTCGTCAATTTATTTCGAGAACTTGGTAAAAAAAGTGAAGTAGGTAATGTTACAGTACCAAATTTCCAATACGTTTGATCGGACCACCAGCCTTAATTCGTATTAATCTTTCAAGTTTCGACCTAAGCTGATATTACAATTTAATATTTTAATAGTATAGTTTTCGAATTGGATTTCATTACAGCATGAAATATTTGTCGGTTCTGCTACTTTATAATCATGATTTATATGCAAAGGACTCAAAACTCAAAACGGCTAAAATCCAAATTTCCATTCCGGAGGCTAATCACTTAAATGGCACGTTTTATTCAAATGAATTTATTTACTATCTGACTAAAGTATTGGTATTGTGATCATAAAAACGTCTGTCGATCATTTGATCCATATCACGTAGACTAAAACAAAAATGTTACCGAAGATTTCGTGCGTTAAAATACTCAGTAGTTAAGAAAAAGTTTGTATGGGAATTGACTAGGAATTGGACGCAAGGCCAGGTGTTGTCAAGTCTGGATCCTCACCAGAACAATAAAAAACAATATCACGTCAATCTTCAACATGATATAATGTTTTATAGACGACTGTAAATTTTAAAAAATAACAAGGTTTGGATATTAGTTAATATCTCCAAACCTCCCTATCGAGATATCATTTTTTGTAATTAATTAATCCTTAAAATAAAAACTTAACATATGGAAATTTTTTTATATATATATACACATTACAAACACTTCATATTGGAAAAGAAAATATTATTACCATCGAAAAAGATTCTACACGTGATATTTACTGTTATCGTGAAAGACCTCAAGCTAGACTTCGAGCGTGTATGTCTATTATTGGCTCATTATATTTTACCACTTTGACAAGTCTACTTTCCTAAGAATTCATTCATATATCCTATGGTCTAAAATCATAAACTGAATTGATTTATGGTGCAGAAAATTACTCATGTGTAATTCTTTCATATATTTTTGCCCTTGAAACCTAACTTTTTCTTCCTCTCTTCTCCAACTTCCAAATTCCTTCTTTCTTCTAAAACCAAAAAAATAAATAAATAATTTTTCTTTTTCAAACTTTAAGCTCAAATCTACTATAAAAATTAGTTCAAATTTGTGTATTTTAATTAGGATCAAAGAAAAAGAAGATGGTGAGATACCAAACAGATGAATTCCCCTCTTCCTCCCCCCCAAATGACTAAATTATTTCATCAACATATATTATAATTGGGGAATATGATTTTGGATTTGATAGTCCTTCCTCGTATATATTTTTTTTTATTTTCAAATTTCATGTGAAATTCAGGGTTTAGTGGAAAATAAAATGCGGATAAGAAAATGAAAAGACATACTAATTATGATTCTTTATTACTTATTATTATTGCTAGAATTTGATAGGTGATAAAACGATTGTAACGAGTGTATTTTATATTTTATAGTTCTTTACATTTGTCATTTTGTAAACTTTTCACCTTGATCTTCCTCCCATTAATTTACTTTTTACAGTTATTATTAATATGTGATTTGAATGGTAAAAACACAGTTTTGATGGTTCTAAATTTCTAGTGTATAATTCTAAATGATGAATGAGTCTGTTCATCTCTCTCTCTCTCTCTCTCTCTCTCTCTCTCTCTCTCTCTCTCTCTCTTTTTCTTTGATTCTTTGCTTTTTTATGTTCCTTAACGTCTTCATTACAAATCTTTTGACGGTAATCACCTTTCATTGTTCATCTTCATTTTTATTTCTAGAATTTTTTTTTATCTTTGATTTGTTTTTTCCTTTTTAAATTGTTCCTTTTTTTTGGATGATGCATAAAAACTTGGTTATGTCTTATTACTTTGTATGTCCTTTTTTTACTAATCATATTTGCAATGTTATGTGTAAATTTTGTTGAAATCAAAAGTGTCACATTTTAATAATACGATTCTATAATGTAACACCATCTTGGGTCAAAATTTTTTATTATTAACAAATCATTTTTCATTTTATACAATTTGTATTCTTTTATTAAATATAGCGTACGCGCAAAGCGCGAATAATTCATCTAGTTATTTTTAAATGCAAAATCAACCAATAATATGGGTGGAAAATATTATCTGCATAATTAAGCTTAATGGTGACCTTTCTCCCAATAATTAAAGCACATCCTTTCCGCGCACGTATGATCAGATGAAAATGGGAATATTGGCTAAAACAATTAACGTTCACGTAACTGGATGAACAACGTTGACTTATTGGCTGACTTGCCCTCCTAATCATAAATCTATCTCCAAGCAATTAAACCATCACCCAATTAAGATCGAATTGAACATTAAATCTCTCTCCAAGATTTTAAAAAAAAAAATGTTTTGAGTATAGTACAATTTACTTATCTTCTTTGGATCAATACACGGATTGCCTATATGAGTTATCAACACCAAGGTAGGTTATGAAATGGCAAACACAAACAACATTTGGTCAATTCCATGGTTGAATTATTGCATAGAAGTTGAACTAACGAACAAATTTCCGACCAACCAAAAGCCAGCTAATCCTCGTGTTTTCCACTTCCCATGTCTATATAAACATCGTGCAAGACTTCTTCATGCACTCACAAACAAAACACAAAAGAGCACACAACACCACTTTTCAACTTTCAAGCTTTGTTCTACCTTCTAAGTAATTAAACCACATCTCTTGGCATCTTCTTTATCCAACAATGGCCAATTCTCACCATCCAGCTCTTGTCTTTTTGTTGCTTATTGCAGTTTCGTCAATCAGCAGCAACTCGTTCAGATCAGAAGCTCGCAAGCTTCTGGAAACAACCACCTTGCCTGAGCCACCTAAAGTTGAGCTACCACCGCTCCCAAAGCCTGAGATCCCAACTCTTCCAAAGCCTGAAATTCCCACACTGCCTAAACCCGAGATTCCGGAATTGCCGAAACCCGAAATCCCAACACTCCCAAAGCCTGAGATTCCCACTTTACCTAAACCTGAGATTCCCACATTGCCTAAACCCGAGCTTCCAACTCTACCAAAGCCAGAGCTTCCAACTCTGCCAAAACCTGAGTTGCCTACTTTGCCAAAACCAGAAGTCCCCAAACCATGAGTTTAAGTCCTGATTAGGAGCTAGAAGAGGGTCGTTCTACTCAGCGCTAGCTGCACTACATTACTTTCTATTGCATTTCCTCATGATTCTTATTTGACCCTTCTTCTGGGATGGATCGGTCGATGATGTTTACATAGTGTTTAATGTATGTCGATTTGTATTAGGGTTGCATACTTGTACTGTTTGCGGTCTGTAATATTGTTTGATGTGTCCCTGAGCGTGATGTAAATTTAAAATTGGATTCAAATCATTTGTATACTTCCTTTTGCATTTCAGTTATTGATACTTTGATCTTCCCAGTGCTCATGTTCGAATTTCATTGACTCCTAAAATTAACGGAAGTGACTTACTTCAATCACTTGTCCAAACTTTGGGAGAAAATCGCAACAATTTAATAGTTTGGAACTAAACTCGTTATGATTTCCCAAACTTTAGGACTAAAACATGGATAACAAATAAGAAAGATAATGGTTACAGTTGGATGATTTAGAACTAAAAAAAAAAAAAAATTAAAAAGAGAGACATATACAAAAGCAATGAAATTCTTGTCACCAATATGAAACTGTAGTAATGAACTCGTGATTCAGTTCAGAAAAGCTTTGCTGCGAACTTGAAACGCTGAAATCATTTCGTGGCTTGGCATCTAACCGATTCCATCTAGAGAATTAAGGGAAATTCTATTATAGTGGTATGTACAGTTATGAGTTTTTTTAACTATGGTAAAACCGAAGTTAAAGTACATTTTCTCGTATAAAAGTATTGAACGAAAAAAAGTTAAGTTATTTGTTTTAAATACATATTTGATGATTCAATTTTTTTTTTTTTTGGGTACTTTCAAGAAAACCTGCTACAAATAGGCATTAACATGTATAGGTTGGGTCTTGAAAAGAATATATCAAGAACGGCGATCATTCGTGGTTGGATCCAGGAGAGAGAAAAATAAAAAGATTTGCCGCTAGTCGACGCTTCACATTCTTAGAGCCCGTTTGATAAAACTTAATTTGGGTCTGAAGTCTGAAATCTGAAGACTGAATCATAAGTACTGAATTGATTAAGTTTGTCGTGTTTGATAAAAACCAAAATCTAAACACTGAATAAAATGTCTGAAATCTGAAGTCTGAACACTGAAATTTAAAATATCTCGATTTATAATTTTATCTAAAAAAATAATTGATGTATATGAAACTATGATAACAAAAATAATAATATTAGTATTAAATAATGTAATAAAAATATTTAAATTTTATTATGTTATTATTTTTTCAGTTAATAATAATTTCAAATTTTATCATTGTAAACAAAAATTCATATTTTATGATAAAGATATATTGATCATGGAATTTAATGGATCTTAATTTTTATATAAAAATAAATATTTATTAAATAAAAAATAATTTACATAAATTTTAATTTAGAACTAGACATCATGATTAATAAAAATATTTCAAGATAAAATATCAAAAGTAGAAACATAAAAATAAATAAATAGAAAAAAAAATCGTCTCAAGAATTCAGTTCAGACATAAGTGATAGGCATATCACTTATTTTTAGGCTCACATTTGTACGAGTATTTCAGACCCACTTACTTTATTAAGACATCCTACTTTGAGTTATCAAACACATTTAAAATTTAAATCCTTAATAAATTAAGTTCTTAAGCAATTAAGTTGTTATGATAGTATATTATCAAACATTGATAATCAATTAAGTACTTAATTAATAAGTTTAAGTGCTTAACTGATTTATCAAACAGGGTTACTCTAAAAGTCACATACACCTTTTAATCTTTTAATTTTGTACTTTTAATAAATCTTTTATCTATGTAGGATATCAGAAGGTGTGGGCCAGAAAAACATGATCCTTTATGTATTATCAAAATCGCTAGCTAGTTACGAGTTTACAACCATCATGTCATATGTAGATAATTTGCTCATCTCAAAATGACGGTCTAATTTAAATTTCAATGTTTAGTATAAATTATATTAAAAGTAAACAATCTAACTCTTAGTACCAAAAATGAAAACCCAAATTAGAGAATCGTTTTGAAACAAAGAGAGAATCTTAAACCTATCAACTTAATATAGAGAAATTTTAAGACAAAAAATAGACGTATAAATGATTAGTTAATTACTTGCTTTACTAAATTATAATTTGGTGCCAAGTTTAACTAATGATGTAAAACATGCAATCAACATGTTAGTATTAGAGAAAAGCAAAACTAATTAACGCTAACATGTGGAAAGTCTACTCATCTAGTGAGACAGGATGCCGAACCTGTTGAATAAATATGATTTGACAATTTCACCTAAATTAAATTAAGTTGTAGTGATGGTGAATGAGAAATATAGATCTCATATATATGATTGAATTTCCGGCAAAATTTCTAACTTATGAATCTACTTTTTTTTTCCCCCCTAATGTCCTCATCACATCACTGGCAGGGAAATTGTGGGAGCTTTCCCTACCGATTGATAAACACAAAACTATTGTACTATATCAGGAATTTAGAGTTTGATACTTGAGGTTTGCTGAGGGGGTGCAAAAAAAAAATTGGATACAAATGGGAATGGGAATATTTGGGATAAGCAATTAGGTTCACCTAAATGAATAGACAATGTTGACTCTTCCTGGCTGACTTGTTCGCTTCTAACCATTCACACACTGAAAATCTATGAGCAAACAATTAAACATACGTGCTAGGATTACGCTAGGAGTCCAGAACATCAAGATAGGTTATAAAGTACGTAGCAAACACAATTATCATAACATTTGGTCAAATCCAGAATTGAATTATGGCATAGAAGTTGAGCTAACAAACAAATTTCTGACCAAACCCCTAAAGCGACCTAATTGATCCTCTTGTCTTCCACTTCCCATCTTCTATAAAGAGAAAACTACCATGCAAGACTTCCCAAATGCACTCACAAACAAAACACAAAGAGCACAAAGAAACACTTTTCAACTTTCAAGCTTTTGTTCTACCTTCTAAGTAATTAAACCACTTTTCTTTGGCTTCTTCTTTATCCAACAAAAAATGGCTAATTCTCACCATCCAGCTCTTGTCTTTTTGTTGCTTATTGCAGTTTCGTCAATCAGCAGCAACTCGTTCGGATCAGAAGCTCGCAAGCTTCTGGAAACAACCACCTTGCCTGAGCCACCTAAAGTTGAGCTACCACCACTCCCAAAGCCTGAGATCCCAACTCTTCCAAAGCCTGAAATTCCCACACTGCCTAAACCCGAGATTCCGGAATTGCCGAAACCCGAAATCCCAACACTCCCAAAGCCTGAGATTCCCACTTTACCTAAACCTGAGATTCCCACATTGCCTAAACCCGAGCTTCCAACTCTACCAAAGCCAGAGCTTCCAACTCTGCCCAAACCCGAGTTGCCTACTTTGCCAAAACCATAAGTCCCCAAGCCCTGATCGGAATTCCTGATTAGGAGCGACAAGAAGTCTTCACAGCCTAGCTGGACAACACATTCTGTTGCATTTCATCATGATTCTTTTTAGTTTGATCCTTCTTATTCCGAGATGGATGATGTTACATATATATAGCGTTTGATGTATCTCAATTTGTGTCAGAGTCATGTTTTGTTTGTTGTTGTAATATTGTTTCAGGTGTCACCGTGTGTGTGATGTAAATTTTAATTGGAAGGATTGATTCTTGAATTCCCCGTGGATTTACTCAATATTTGTATTTCAGGAATTGATATTGCATTTTGTGTTATTTTGATCTTTCCCAGTGCTCATGTTTGATCTTCGGTGTCGGAAATCTAGTTTTCAAAGTTCCAATTAATTAACTTCACAAACAACTATTCCCTGATGACAATTATAGGAAGGAAGTAGCTAGTTCCAAGAGTAAACCGAAGATATATATGCTCCACATAACATAAAACTTTTCTTGTAGGATAACAAGAAAGATAAAGAGATAATGTCAACTGAAGATTTTTCTAAACAAGCATGGCCATATACTTCCAATTAACTCAAAAATAACTATAAGAGACCTAAGAAAAAGTTGTGTTCTGATTACCCTTTGATGATTAGAATAGCCCGACTATGTACCTGATTTCTGACAAGTATATATCGTCCAAAAAAAAAAAAAAACATAGACATATTAAAAAACAATACTCTCAAGTACACTTTCTCTTGCACTGCAAGAACTGGAATTTAAGAACTAGATATAAAACTAGAGTCATGCAATATTCATAATTCAATCGACAAAATGTGTTGATGCCAACTTGTAACCGGTCTCTCAGTTTGTGATCTTCAAGTTTAGCTTCCGACCAATTTTATCGAATTTAATGTTGTTATCCAGAATTAATGACTAATTCCTAATTAATACTAGAGCATTAATTAACAACAGAAACAGACATGATCATAACGATAGTCACACCAATAGATTTGTTAATTTTGTGTTTAGTAACCGCATTGTTAAGAGAGGTTGAACAAACTAGAGATAAATCTTCTCACCAGTCCACCAACCAAATCTCAACATTTATCAAAACCTTCATGTATAAAATCCATCATATAACTTTTCATTCCTCCATATTAATTCCAACCCCAAAGAGAAAAAACAGAAAATTTCTTAGGATCCAAACTCCAAATAAAACATGGAAACATACATGAAATGCTCCATACTAGCCTTCTCATTTCTGCTAATCACCGTGGCCTTAACGAGTAACACGGGATCAATCGTAGCCGAGGCGCGGCATTTGTTGGACGCCGTGGTGGTGGTGGAGGATGTGCCGATTGAAAATGATCAGCCGGAACTAGACCCCACCACAACTACCACAACCGTGCCGGAGCTGCCAACAATTGACTCAATTCCGGTGGTGAATTTGCCCCTGCCGGAGATACCAACTACAATTCCCTTGCCTCACATCCCTGATGAGATCACAATTCCCAATCTGGCTGAGATTTTTCCGGCACTTGCTAAAATACTCCCTTGAATCTGTCTAAACCCCTCATGTGCTGAAAAAGGAAATCTTCATGGTTCTTCGTCGTTCCAAAACTTGGTGTTTTGTTAATATTATGACATAATATATGTGTAACGTTTTTTTTTTTTTTTCTTTCTGTTTGGGGTTTCATGCTGTTGATTCCCTTTGTGTGGATTTAGAGTGTGTAGTAGTACTTGTTTTATCCTCTTTTTATGAAACTGCAATAAAGAAAATGTTTCCTGTACATACGTATTAAGGGAGACAAACAATTGCTATATGAAGATGTAAGTGAGATTACTCTCCCGCGTCTCTCATGAACGAACTCAAAGCTGAAAATTTCACTACCTCGTTTTAGAGTCTTTACTACTATTGGCATTTATGAGTGTTTATTTCAAAAGATGAGGTTGATTGCTTTAATTTTTTTGTTTAATTAATTAACTATTGAAACCAATCTAGGTGTTCCGTTTTAGTTTCTTAAAGGGAGTAAAGGTTTTCAATACTTTAATGGTTTCATTAAATGGTTTAACTCCTAAGAAACAAAGCTTTTCGGTTCCAAAGTAGTAACCTCCGATTTTGAAGCTTTTGTGCAAGTGTTTCCTACACTATAAATAGTAGTCATATCAGAAGTTCATTTTACATCCCATTCAAAACTCAAAACTTTTCTTTAAGCTTAATTTATCATTTCTTGAAACAACCCTCACAAGTAAATTTTTCTTGAGTCTTTCTCTTTGCTTTCAAATAAGTTTTTACAAATATCAATCTATATATTTGTTAGTTCTTGTGTACTCTAAATTTAAAAGAGGAAGACTTGTTTTATCTTGGGGGAAACATTCCGTTACACGGAAATATTTTCTTTAAGACAGTGCAATTTTGCGCGACTCAAGTATTTATATTTATTTAGTATTTTTGGAGCATTCCCCAACAACTACAAATAATAGGATCCTAGCCACAAGTAAGAAAAAATGCAATCTTTAAAATCGTTCAATAAACATGACTCTTATATTCAAAAGAAAGTAGCTAGATAGTGCTACTATTGGTTTCGTGTTGTTGCTGGTTTCGTGTCTAATTTAACGCAACAAATTACTTGGTTTATATATATATATATATATATATATATATATATATATATATATAGCTACTAAGGCTTTTCAGTATTTTGCCAGCGTTTTCTATGTAGATATATGTAGGAAGAGTATGATGTTGTAGAGAGGTCTCTAAAATTTATTTATTTGTAAAATTTTCACGAGTTTGAATTTGATAAAATTCAGATATAAATAAGAAAGATGGTGAGAATTGCTTCAAATCTAACCCTTGAAAAGAAAACCGGAAAACTAGTCGTTCCTCTTTCAAGTTTCAAGTGGCACAACGAACAAAATTAGGGGTTTTTGGTGAAAAGTACAAAGAATATAACTTTTTTAAAATACTGTATACTTTTTTTTTTAATTAATCTGAAATTTAGCCATATGTAGATTATTTTCGTTTAGTGGTGATCTCTTAAACCAAAGCAAAAAGATTACCACCACATGAAAATTATAGGATCACCAAAATATATCCTCAGTCGATTCACTATTTGAGATGGGAAGGAAAAAAAAAAAAATCGGTGTGAAATAACCACCGGATAGATGTTGAGTTTGGCATCTGACGAGTTTGTCGAGACCCTCAAAAATTAATCTGAATTCCAAACAGACTAAAATTAAATTATAGAAACAGTGGAATCAGGTCGAATCCCAAAAGAGCCGACTTTTGACACTTGGCTTTGTAAAAGTAACGAAATGGGGGGAATTTTTTTCTTTCTTCAAAATAAAAATGACAAAATTTAAAGTAAATAAACTTAAGAAAAGTTAATAGAATGGAAATTTTGGTTCAAGGAATATTTTTCAAATATTTACAGATCACCGACTAAAAATAATTTTTCTACAACTCAAGCATTCAACCGTAGGTTTAATAGGATAACCGTAAAAAACCTTATATTTTCCAAAAAATATTTGACCAAGCCCAACACCTAATCAAAACTTATCATAATTTAACTGGGCACGATAACGTTCCATATTAAATTATGATAGCAATAAAATCTTTGAAAATGTAGTTGAACAAAAAAAAAACTAAAATAATTGAGATAACTGTAATTAAAAGATTTTTGTCCTATTGATCCCCTAGTTAGACTAATCATTCAACGTGTCACTACCAATATGCATAATCTGCTAATGTGCTACTTAGTGCCAAATGTTTAAGACGATAACGCAACATAAATAATTTGGTAGTAGTAGGAAGAAAATACTTGATTAAATTGTCAGATTAATCAAGTATCTACTCTCATAAAAATAAATCAAAATCAATAAGTACTTGAATCAAAAGTAGAAAAAATTAAAATGAAACTTGTAGTCTTACATATAATATAAAAGAATAAAAATCCTTGGACCAAATGAAGAAAATTAGCCACTCATGGTGACTAGAAACATCTTTAAAGGTGTAAAAAAAATTAAAACAAAAGGCTAAATGAAAATGGTGGCAAAAATAGAGAAAGTAGGAGGAGCCAAAAAATGCAAGCTATGGGGTGCTTTTATCAATTGAGGAGACCACTATTTATAGTGTATAATGGCTGGAAAAAACCCCCAAAGAAATGGGAGTAAAATCCAAATCAAATCTCATCCTAATTTTCCACTAAATCAGTATTTTTTTGCATGATTCTCTACCACCGAATATGAGATCAAGATTTGGATAGTTGACTTGGTAAAAAGAATCTTCTAGGAACCCATTTGTGTGTATTCTTTGCAGCTGGAATTTTCTTATCTTTTAACTCCGTAAAACTTTATAAAAGGGCTGTAAAAATCCTAAATGATCCATCTTTTCACTTTTTGGTACCTAACAACAAAGTCATAACAAAATCCATTAATAATCACTAAAATATAACCAATTTAGGATTAGAAGATTATAATAAAATGAATTTTATTATAATTATCAGCATCTGGTTAATGTGGTTTACATGTATTGTTGAAATAAGCTATTGTACCTTTTATAAATAATCCGGCAGTAAAGAATCATGCCAAGAAACCTGAAAAATTTCTTACGTAATTGCATTTCATCTTTAATCAATGCATTTGAAATTAAGAAGAAAAGAAAAGAACAACAATCGCTCACGAGTCACAATGAATGGTTGAAACAGACTTTTAAATCTGAATTAATGAATGAATTTCTTCACCGAAAGACACTCCATATCTGTCTCGCAGTCACAAAGTCGGGGCGGCCCCGGGGGGTGGTGGGGTGTTGAAGAATTAGACTTGCGAAGACTTTACAATAATAATCTCCTCGTATTCTATACTCTAAAGAAACGCCTATAAATAAACAAGAACTTCCCATCATCAAGAAACACATTAAAAAAAAAAAGCCTGATCACAAATACATCTCTCAAAACAAGAGTTAATAATTAATGGCTTTTTACAAGGTGCTCATGGCCTTGCCCGTCCTTCTAGTTGTCGGAACTGTTTCCGGCGACGCCATGAGTAGTGATTACCCACGTAAACTAGGCTATGCGCCATATGGATCAAGTAATCCTAAATCGGTACCAATGCGTTGCCTACCGGGTTCTTATCGATCTTGTATTCGTGGTCCTTATTCGCCACCATCTCACGATCCTATTTCACGACGACATGGACGTCATTCTAAGTTGCCAACAACTTCTCATGATCCGACTTATGGCCGTCGTGATCCTAGTTATGGGCCTCTTGATCCTAAAAAGCCTACTCCATCACCATTATATGGTCATTATCCTACTTCCCGACCATCAGCAACAGTAACTAACTCATTCCTTGATA